GACATACAAGAACGCTCAATCACGTTCAATGTGACCATCCACTTGGAGAAATGACTAATAAACTCGTGGAGAAATCTAGCGGCTCACTTCAACTTGAATTGAATTGACATATGCCCTGAAGGTGTTGCCTAGTATGGCAATGATAACATCGTAAATAAACCATCCGGCTCAGAGAATACAACTACACCAAAATCTCTTGATGTCTTTATAGATATTTTGGATGTTGTACTTCATGATAAAGTGCAGCTTCTTATTATATTAAGTAATATAATGATGATACTTTATTCAATTAAAAACCTTTATCCAACACATCTAGTTTTCAGATATACGAGTAGAACTTCTGGGCACTGCGGTGGTAGAGTATAATTCGATTGTGGGGGTAAATTTACTTTGATAAAGTCTCACAGTGTTTTTTATACAATAATATATTTACTGATGACCACACACTTCAAGCACAAGTTACTGCCACTTATAATCATATCGAGGCACTATTCACACTATTTTATAACATGGACGAGCTCTGTAGGTAGGCTGAAGGACCTTGTATGCTGACCAAATTCAACAAAATAATATAATTTACAAAATACCTCACAATGACTGTAAGTTAGGTCAACTACCTAACATAGGTGAGTCAATTTAGTAGATCAGGTAGGAGTAGTCAGATTGCTTGTCACAACATAAGAATTTAGCTGAAGTTACAATGATTGACCCCACCGACGAAGATCAGTAATTTAGAAAAAATAACTCAGCACTACATTGCACTGCATGCGTTAACACACAATCACACAATGGGATGGGAGGGAGAGGGATACAATTCTAAAAATTAATCTAGGTAGGTGCATATTGAGAGAGGTTGATTACTGAATTGTTGATCATAGAATCTACACCCAAAACGTGTAGTAAGAATTACTCATCATTCATACCGGAAATATGGAAAATACTACTACCAATCAAGTCAAGCGATGAAAAATAATGGAATTATATAAACGATGTTAGAAAGTTGTGTAGTTGAGTAATGTCTTGATATGATGACGATGAGCAGCAATAAATCGTGCTCGAATCATTGTCATCACTAAATATTACTGCATAACAAACAGTGAGACTTTGTCAAAATAAATTAACCCCCTCAATGGAATTATACTACACCACCACAATGCACAACTGCTATTCTTATATCAATGATACTAGCTAAGAATCACCTTAACTCACTCTCAAACAAAATAGGACTAGATACACACACACACACACACACACACATTACACTAGTTACTGACCACTGTCCCATCAAAAATTCATTCCACAGTTCAGAAACTTCCGATTATGTAATAATCGACAGTATTCAAGCAGACGATGTAATTCATAGACCATTGGATCGGGTCCCAGTGAGTGGCTTAATGATCTACAAGTTAACTCGCCTTGTAACCAGAACGTCTTGGGTTCGAACCTCATCGAGGTGGGTGCGCGCTGATGAGGATTCCTAAAGTAAGCTGACGAAACAGGTGTCTGGCAGTACTCTCCCCAGGTGGTTTTCCAACGGTCCTCTATATATATATATCACATCTAACTGTTCTATTCAACTGAATCAAACTTAAAAACAACTCAGCTGTTTTGTAAAGCTGTGAAGACTGTAACTAAAGCGTGTGAAACAGAAAGGCATTTTAGCAGACATAACACTGCAGTTTAATTACAGAAAAAAAATCAGTTAACGCCTTTTTTGAAATAAGAACTCATTGAGTTGACAACACAGAGATACCAATAGGTCTTGTCTGGTATTACACTTATTAAGAAATATTCAATATACTTTCAATGAGTATACAGCTGATAGATTATGTTTGATCATATAAGTCGTATGCAGCTTATCCTTAGAAGAGACATGAGCTTTCCCTTCAGTGGGGTAGCAGATACACGCCTTGCTGACTAACTCGCTGATTGGCGAGTGCCCACTTGCATGAAACCTAAGGATAGGGAAGACTTCCTTCCTGTGGCTGATTGCTTGCAACCATCTAATATCAACTATTCATTACAGTGCATCATGATGGCAAGCCAGACACCTAGCCTGTTTGGTGGTTGGTCACATTGCAAACTTGACTGACTGATAGAACTCAGTCTGCACTAAAGTGATAGGACTAGACACTCACACATTACACTAGTTACTGACTAGTGTCCAGTCATAAGTATTAATAAATAAAGTACCTTGTCTGATTTGAAAATTCTTCATTAATCATATGATTATTTTATGACTTTTAATTAAACGTTGACTGGTCCCATTCAGGTAGGTAGTTACCTGGGGTCCTATTGGAGAGCCGTGACCAGTAGGGTGCAATACAGCAAGTCGAACGAAGGTGAGGACAGTTAATCATCGAATAAGACATTGGGAAGTGACAGTCGCGCTATTTCGTCCGTGAATTGGCAGAAGCTAGAATTCACGGACTGGCTTGGCTGGCCGGCCGGCCGTTGGATCGTGTTTCAGTAAGTGAGTGAATGGTCTACGAACTAGTTCGCTTGGTGGCCTTGTAACCACAGTGGGGTGAGTTGAGTGCGTACTGCTGAAGAGCCAGTCCAGCCCAAGCACTAGGATGCGGGATACGGCTACCTGGCAGCACCTCTTGTGGCAGGTTTTCCAGCGGTTCTCTAACGAACCGATGTCAGCTCACGATGATATTCTTCAACCAGTCAAACAAAATTCCTACAAAATCAATACTTGAAAATTGATCTGATGCTGACTAGGGACTTGTCCTATTTAGGTAGGTAGTTACCTGGGGTTCCAGTGGGAAGCCATGACCAGTACGTTACAGTACGTTGAACAGTATATAATTAAAGAACGAAACTGTAAAGAATTATAATAAATGTTATAATTATTACAAAAAAATTATTCAAAAGAATGATTAGTGAACAAAGAATATTCACATTTTCGATAGCCTGCTCTTCATCATCACTAGGTTCGAAAGTTATATATGCATCAATCCATTCATAATAGTGAATGAATGAATTAGTGTTATTAACAACAACACTAACTTTGTTGTTTGAATAACATCGTATTAGTATTAATAATGATAATATTAACAGATTATACTTTGATACCATCAATATAACGGTACATTGAATGAACATCAGAGAAATCAGGAAAGATAATAATAGAAATTCATGAATTCATAGTCTCTACTAAAGGCCGACCAGGGCAGTAGTAGTAGTAGTGAACTTGCTTTTTTTGCATAGAAATCACTAGTTGTTTCACGGGAATGGCAACACCTTTCGACAATTTATTTGGTACCCGGTAGACTATTATGGAGAAGGACTCTTCAATGCTGCCTTAGTGACAAGTTTGGACAAGGTGGTCTAATATCACACTGTTGATGCGTTTCAGTATGCTTTCATTTAACCACATTGGGAGATGCTCCCTACCGAGCAAGAAATATCAAGTTACTAGAACAATGGCCAATATAACTCGCTCCATCACAAGCGCAGTTGAATTAGTAGATACAATTGAAGGTGGCCAGTTAGTCTACGTACTTCATCTTTCAGTCGTGGAATCACCATCAGTCGTAAGGTAAACATGACTGAGAGTTTGCCAGCATTGTTTACGGATAGTGATTAGTCAACTTTCTTTGTCATGTGTTTCCTGATAAATGTGTCGGGATAGCTAGCTATTTTCAATCAAGGAGGTATCATATACAATCAATGCTTAGTTCATTTTCAATTACATTAATGTTGTTGTTAATAATACTAATTCATTCAGACAAAGCAATAAGAAGACGTAATTTTTCTGATTCGTGTAATGCATTTCCGCAACACATTTCGAACAATCTGATCACACACAAGGTTGTCATAGGGATACATAAATGAAATTACTAAAGAGTTAAGAGGTGAGAATATAGACAAGTTAGGTCAAGTTAAACGAACATATTAAAGGTCAAAATAACAATGAAGACCACTAAACCAAATAAGAGAGGCAATAGTACATCTGCCCTGACTGGTGGTGATCAAAACAAAATTTACCAAGGACGGTAGGTTTAGTGTGATGACGAATAGTTGGTTTGAACGCGTGAAGGTGGTTTAAACATTCTAATTGCCAGCTAGGTCTTCCACAAAGTTAAGGATACGTCCCAAAAACATTTTATAGACAGGTTTAAAAGATGTGTAAACGTTAGTTTTATGTCCTGTCTCCTATGTAATATGTTTCGCAGTAGAGGAGCTAGGTGTCCTTTTATCCCGTTAATAATGGGGTCTGAAGATTCTATTTGCTTCTGGTGCCATTTAGGAATTCATTTATTCACTATTCTGGCTGGATCGAAGCATATATAACTGTAGAACCTGGTGATAATGAAGAGCAAGTCATCGAAACTATAAATATTCTTTGTTCAGTGTAACCATTCTTTTGAAGTGAAATTTGAATAGACATGACATGCTTTTGTTTTTCGAGATGAATTGCATTCATATGAATAGTCAACCAACACTGATGCTCGCTAGTGACTTGCCTACAGGACAGAGTTTCCTGGAGTGAGTCCTAGTGAGAAGTCGTGACCAGTGAGGGGCATCCCGTCATCAAATGTGAGGATGAATTACCCACCGCGACAGCATTGGCTGGTGCTGGTTGGCCATTGGATTGATGGGTTGTGGTGAGTGGCTGAACCGTATGTGAGCTAGCTTGGCTTGAAACCGGAAGGTCCTGGTTTCGAACCCTAGTGGGAGATGGGTGCAACTTCTGATGATTCCAAAACTAGGACGAAACAGCTTATCTAGTACTTCCTCGTTTTTAATACTTCTCTTTTATATGAATCATCATCATCACATAAAAAGCAAGGCAATTAACACTATTGCCTCTTTTCAAACAAGATATGAGTGTGTGAATGAAAAAAGCATGTATTGAAGAACACGTAATACACGATATAACTAGCGAGAGAGAGAGACAGAGTATTATTCAGTAGAATACGACCCATAGAAGAAAAATTGAAGGAATTATTCAGATTATATTCCATTTTCAATAATAACTAAAGACTTACTTTTCTTCTGATAAATCCGGCTTTTCTTTTCTCAAATCCGCATGATACGCATCCCAATTAGTATTACAAATCTCCTAAAATTCATAAAACAGACAAAAATAGATAAAAGGAGAGGCTGAAATGAAAGAGAAGTGAAATCCTTACATTCAGTGAATTTTAGAAACAATTTAAACATGTGTTGGTTTATGTATCAAAAAGTGCGGATTTCATCGTAGAAAAATAAAAGCTTATCTTCTTTGTGTAATTTTTATTCGTTTTGTTCTGGGTTTCCAGTGGAACATCGAGTGAAAGCCAACAAACTCGCTGAAGAGGCTGGCCGGCAGCGAAGACATGAGTTCATCCATGTAGAATTAGAGAAGGAGGTGATAAAGATAACCAACCAAACAATGAACAGCAACAGTAATGAGAACAACAACTAGCACTAATCAATCATCATCAAATGGGAGAGATTTAACACAGGTAACCTTCTCCCTTCACCTATATAGACAGCCAGTATTGTTTCAAGCACATGCAGATGGCCAGAGAATGAAGATGTCAAAGTCAGTCAGTTAGCCTGAATCAGAAAGGCAAGCAAGATACGCACGCCTTCATCAACCTGAAACCACTTGGGAAATCTTCTTCACTGCACCCTGCCTTCCTTAGCTAGCATAAACAATAACATTCAAATCCTATTCAACACAAATTCGGTTGAGAAACTTGCACTGCATGTATCTCACGAAAACGATTTCCAACAGTCTACTACACACTTTTATCAACAACTACCTGCTTCGCTGGCTGGCTGGCTGGCCGAACAGAAAGAATCTACAACAAGAAACTCTGCAGTGGAACAAACCAACCAACCAATAGAGCAACAGCCGACTGATTGCTCAACAAATATGTAAGAGAAAGTGGCTTAGAGATGGATTGATTAGGCATACATTGAGGAGGGAGGCCATCGGTCGAACAACGTCGTGCGTAATGCATGCCATGCATCACTCGAGTGGAAGGCGAATAGGAATCGACAGACAAGCGAGTGGTCGTTAATATTGTGACATGAAGGAGATCGTTTGGGGTAGTGGGAGGAGGAGATGAATGATTATGGTCAATCGTGGAGCTCACCAACTGAAGAGGACAGCAGAGAATAGAAGTAAATGGAGATGTGGTGTTGTTGTTGAAGCCAGCCGTATGTTCTACTCGTATCCCAAAGAAACAATAATAGTATTACAATTAATTACGAAGTTAGTGGAACTAACACTCTAGCGATGCTTAGGGAGAGATAATTACAAATGGTAATTATTATAATATTGATAACAAATGTATGAAACGCATAAAAAAACATGCGTGCGTATACTTATGCTTGGAAAGAAAAATAGCACTGAGAAGAAAGTAGCAACCTACAACAACAGGAATTTCTAGTAGGAAAAAAGACTAATAAAACATTGTTAGTAATTGCACACACATTACTAACACAGAAACTGAAGAGGCTCAGCAGTGTAGCTGTTAAATAATACTCATATATGCTGTATCAAGTATGACTTCATGCAGTGATTGAAGTGCACTTACAATTGATATATCATAGCAGGCTTAGTGACAGAAGCAGTATGTACACGGTAATATTATAATGAAGTCTCATACAGTCTGTGCTTAATATACGGTAATATTTACTGATGACTATGCTCCAAGTATAATTTATTGCCACTCATGACCACAGTCATATTAAGGCACTAATCACACAACTTTCTAACTTCGTTTATATAATTCCATTGTTTTTCATTGTAGGATACTTAATAAAGGAGGACTGGACTACATTGACTCCTAGCGTAGAAATAGGGAGCGAAGTGGTTGGTGGATTATGTTGACCACTTCACTTATTAAAGGGGAAGTTGCATCAGCCCAGCTAACACCAGTAGGTTGATCGCTGACGAAATCTCATAACGGATACAGAAGACTGATTTCGCATATTCCAGTTTACGCCGTCTCTGCTGTAGACGTGATATCGGGCTATGGAATAATGGACGTGTGTACTGCTCATCAGTCCGCTCCGTCCACCTTTACGGCTGTGAGACATGGCCATTGATAGTGGAAAACATGAAAGGCTAGCTGTTTTTCATCGTAGGTGTCTGCGTTCTGTCTCCCGTGTGAAGTCGTATAGTAGGGTAAGCATCACTGAGGTCAGGCGGAGGTCGAGTGCTAGGTGAGGAGGAGGGGAAATCAATCAACCAGACTGTGAAGCAGTTACATCGATTGAGGGAGATGGTAAGGACGTGTGTTACGTATGCCCGGTTAGAGATCGCTTTCTTCGACAATGGACGATGTTAGGTGACATAGGGTCAGGCTGGAAAAGAGCCAGTCAGTGGTGGTTAAACCAAAACATAGCACCAGTCACTGAAATCCAAAAACGTTAGTTCAAGCCACGTAGGAAGATGTAGACTGTCTAGTCGGGGTCCTCAGGACGGTGAAAACCAATGGCTGGAGACAACTGGTGACATAGCTGGGCCAAAGTGATCGTTTTCGGTGATTGCTGGCTGGAGCAGATGTATCCACTACTTGTGACTTATAATACCTAATAAAACTATATTGTTCTTCCATATTACTATTCCTTTTATCTCATATCTCTGCCTACTGTCTCTGTTATGCATTTCTTCTACTTTCTTCTCTAGCTTTGTGTGCTACATGGAGTGTGACGACTTGAACTGCTGCACATTGGTGCAAAGTTCTATTTTGAAAAGAGACAGATAGACAGAAGGCAAGCAAAAGAGTGGTGACATTTAAACCTGCGAACTCATTCAAAGAGATGGGACAAGCTCCGAGGGTAGGCTGAAGGACCCTGTATGCTGACCCAATTCAACAAAATAATATAATTTACAAAACACCTCACAATGACTGTAAGTTAGGTCAACTACCTAACATAGGTGAGTCAAACTAGTAGATCAGGTAGGAGCAGTCAGATTGCCTGTCAGAACATGAGAATTTAGCCAAAGACAGAATGATTGACCCAGTGAAGATAAGTAATTTAGAGAACAGTTAGGCATCACATTAAACTGTATACATTAACACACAACCACACAAAAGGGTGGGAGGGACAGAGTCAATGTTTTAAATAGTAGGCGGGGATAGAGATGGAAAGAGGTTGATTACTCAATGAATCGTGGTTCATCGAGTCTACACACCCAACACAACACGTGCAACAGGAATGAGTCTTGATCACTCATACCAAAAATATGGCAAATACTACTAGTACCAAACAAGTCAAGCGATGAAAAATAATGGATGTATATAAACGAAGTTAGAAAGTTGTGTGAGTAGTACCTTGATATGATTATGAGCAATACATTGTGCTCGAAGCGTGTTGTCATCACTAAATATTACTGTATAACACACTGTGAGACCTTATCAAAATAAATTTTAGCCACAACGGAAGTATATATATTTATATATACAACAATGGTAAAGAGGTCAGTGTGTCGGTGGCACAGTGGTTAGGACTCTTGCCGACCATGAACATGGTCCGAGGTTCGATTCCCTGCCTACGCACACCCAATATCCATGGTTGGCCTGCAAAACTTGGGCTACCGATATCACATGCCGGCTGGAACCCGAATGGGAGGAATGTGGCGAGGTAGTTGGTCATAGGAGCGCGAGGAGGACATGGAGGAGGCGGAGGATGAGGAGGTGATTCGAAGAGGAGATGAAAGCCTGTAGGCAGCTAAAGAACGAGGTGAGAAAACGATGTTGTAGAAACCCGAACGGAATGGAGACGTGCGGCTGAAGGTCTGTATTTCTCTAGGAACTAAAGGAAACAATGCAGTCATAATATTAAGGCCTAAAGAAAGATTCAGTCACATAAAAGCAACATCATCGCATAATTCTGTAATCTGCTGCTTTCATTGATCTTCTCCTTATTACAGAAGCAATTTAGTATATGATGCGCTTTCGAAGCATCTTCTATCAAATCAGTTAATAAATCAAAACATCGACTTATAAAACTTGTCAAATTTTTAATGTGGAGAGAAAATGACCAGTCTGCCCAGTAAGTTTATTCCTATTATTATTATCCCCTTAGGTTACGAGCGGAACATAGGACTGGCTTCACCAACACCACATCCCCATTTTCTTCTATTTTCAGCCATCCTCTTCAGTTGGTGAGCTTCACGATTGATTATAACCTCTCATCTCCACCTCCTCCCAAATCATCCTCGACATACGATCTCCTCAACATCACAGTAGCACTGAAGACAAACTCGTCCATCACTTCCCATTTCGATTCCACTCGAATTTCATTCGACTGTTTCCCTCAATTTATGTCCGGTGAATCCAGTTCCAATCCATTTCTCCTACATATTTCTTAAGCAATCGATCGGCTCTTGCTCGGTAAGTAGGTTGATTTTTTCCACTGCAGAGTTTCTTGTTGGTAATTCTTTCTGTCCAGCTGGTCATTTGATCTTCAGTATGGAACCAGCCAGCCAGCTAGGCAGGCGGCGAACGTGGCACATTCTATTAAAAGTCTGTAGTAGGCTGATGGAACTCCTGTTTGTGACGCACACACAGTGCAAGTTTCTCACCCGTATAGAAGCACTAACTGACTGACGCCACTAACATTTGCATTGAATCGAATCCGAAAGTTGTTGTTTATGCTAGCTGAGGTGGAGTGCAGTGCAGAAGATTCGCTTACTGACTTTAGGTTGATGAATGTGTGTTTATCTTGCCTTTCCCATTCTATCTTCGAGATGTTAATCCGTGCTATCCGCGTGTAGTTGAAACGATGCTTTCTAGCCGGATAAGTGAAGACGGGAAGTAACCTCTGTTACATCTCTCCCTTTGAGGATGATTAGTGCTGTTTGTTCTTGTCGTTAATGGTGTTCGTTGGTTGGTTCTCTTCGTCTGGACGGAGTCCTGTCTTCGTTGCTAGCTAGCCTCTTCTTCCAGTTTAAGCAAAATACAACAATTAATTCCTCACCAACAGACAATAAAGTAATATGAAATAAATAGAGTGATTACACTAGTTATAAGGAGCTGACTCATCTGATGAACTGCTATCATATCTAGGTAAATCTTTCAACCAGAATGGTACATAGCCAGCCAGAGAAGTTTTAACAATAAACAAAACAATGATTAAATGATCAACAAATGAACAGAAATTTCTATCAAACTAACCTGAGCTTTCGACAATGCTTCGTGATAGGAATATTTAACTGGTGGTATCATTTTCAGTGTTTCCAGAGTATAGAAAAATTCACTAAGACCATAAAATTCAAGTGAATTGAAGTCAATTTGTGGTTGAACAACATTATTCATTGCGCATGGAATCGGTGTACAATGATTATTTAAAAGTAGTAACGGTTCCACATTTTTTAAGCATTGTGTCATATTTCCTGTTCCCTGAATTTTTAAAAGACAAAAGGAATAAAAAATATATACATGTGGTGATAATTCTCATTTATACATTTAGAGGACAAAAATCTAAATGAGGGCTTTGTGTGTTAGGGGGGGGAGGTGGGGCGGTTGTAACTTCCCGATTGACCTCAACACTACTTTGGAAGTTGATTGGTTTATTTTCGGGGTTAACTGAAACAGAAAGAGAGTTAGTGCTGCATGACCGCAATTGACCCTAAGGGATACAACTACTTGAGGCTGGCCGGCTAGTTACACACGGCCTCTATGATCTGGTTTCTTGGGTCTGTCGCGAATCGGTAAACCTACCGCCGGTAACGGACCACTAGCTGCAATCAGCGATTGTTTGGCATGCGATTCGCATGTAAGATGATTACACAGAACTGGACTACATTGAGCCTGGCTAAGAGATAGGGAGTGAAGTGGTAGGCAGAGAGTGTTGACCACTTTACTCATTTGGCAAGTTTTGTCAGCCAACGCCATAGCCAGGAGATTGATAGCCGACAAAATGTCAGTTGAGTACGGATACAGAAGGCTCGTTTCTCATATGACAGTTAACGCCATCTCTGGCTTAGTAGACGTGATATCCGACTAACTGGCTGGTTGTCGATCAAAGGGCGAGTGTACTACTCGGAAGTCCATTGCGCCTTCCTTTATGGCTGGCTGGCTGGGTGAGACATAGCCATTGAAAGTGGAAGACGTTAAAAAGCCCCCTAGTCAGCTGTTTTTTATCATAAGTATCTGCATTCTGTTTCTGGTGTTAAGTGGTAGTATAATAAGTTGAGTATTATTGAGGTTACGCGTCGGTAGAGTGCTAGTTGAGGAGGAGGGGAAATCAATAAACAACGCTGTGAAGCAGTTACATCGATTGAGGGAGATGGTAAGGATGTGTGTTATGTATGCCTGGTTAGCCATCGCCTTCTTCGACTGACAGTGGGCAATGTTAGCCACTGGTTGACATAGGATGGATGAGGTTGGAAAAGAGTTAGCCAATAGTGATGGTCAAACCGATACATGGCTTCATCATCAGTAAATGAAATCCACAACAGTTGGTTTAAGCCAGCCAGTCAGTCACGTAAGAAGGTGTGTACTGCCTGGTCGGGGTCCTTGGGACGGTAAACACCAATGAAGGCTGGAGAAAATTGGTGATATGGCTAGCTCAAAGTGATCGTTCTCGGTGATGGCTAGCCTAGGTGCAGATGCATCCACTCCTTGTGACTTATAATACCCAATATAACTATACTGTTCTTCCACCTTACAACTATTTATTTCGCCTCATATCTCTGTTATGAATTCCTTTTTACTTACTTCTCTTGTTTTGTGTGCTAGGAAGAGGTAGTGTGGCACCTCGAACTGCTGCACGTCGGTGCGAATTTCTACGTTTAAGCCAGTCATTCAGCAAAGGGTAACTCGGGACATACAGTTTTTGGGCTCAATCTTTTCTAAGCCCTCTTCACTCTCTTTAGAGGGGTGGAGAGACTGCATAGTTGGCTGGCATGCTGGTCACCTGAGTGAAGGAAGCACCTTACTGCTGTTTTATCCCTCTTGCCCGGAAGTACGAATGTGCTGACAGACAGATCCCAAGTATGGTGCAAAAGAAAAAATCCTACACTGCACCAGTAACTGCTTTTAGTCTAATCGATATCCTAACCATCTTCCTAATATGGCAAGACCTGCAAGAACATTAGTCCCAGCCAGTGTAGCTTATTAGATTATCGCGCGATATGCAAGTCCGAACAGCATGTCAAGGTAGCAGTTATCGATCGATAACTTTCACCTTCATCTATCTATATACATATACATGTGCATAATATTTAAATAACAATGGATATTAACAGTTTTGATTTGTTTTTTTTAAATAATATCGATTGATTCAATAAATCAATAGAATTACAGTTCGGAAGTATATACAAGTGGTACCAGGCATAATTAAGACAGAAAAGAAACATTGTTAAAACAATGATGGTCAAGTTAGGTAGGGAAAGAGTCTGAATGAATGAATTTCCATCGGTACACATAAGTTTTTTCATATGAATCATGACGGCTTCAGTTAAATGTAAAAGATGAACTGATAAGGCGAAATTCAGATCAGATCATAGACCAAATTACACAATGTCAACAACAGAAATAATCCAATAACGCGCGGAAGGAGTTGTACATAAACACTTTTCAAGAGGGCCAGCCAGCCACCTTGAGGAAAATTGAAGAAAGATATCTTATGGACGTCTCCTAAAAGAATGGATATCCACGGAACTTCATCAAAAGACATATACTCCCAAAGCCAACCAACTTACCAAATCAAAGGCCTCCTCCCCAAGGGAAAAAAGAAAATCACCCCACTACATATAAAAGACGACATCTCAGAAATCACCGCAACACTCTTCAAACCTTGATGAGGAATTGAGGAATTGATGTCACACGCAAACCACTAGAATCACTTCATCACTCAGATGGCTCTGTGTGTCAACCAAAAGACAGAGTCAGAAGCGGAAGAAGGTAAAGCGGACATCACTTTCTAGAAAATAAGTTGCAACGACTGCGAAAAACACTACATTGGCCAAAGTGGACGCCCCTCCTCTTCATCTTCGTATCCATGAGTATAAACTAGTCATCAAAAGACATGACATCCACTCCCTCACTGCAAACAGACAACAACCAGGGAGGACATCAATTCGAATGGGACAACCAGCGTTCAAAAAATATTAGACAGAGAAAACAACACCGAGAATGCTAGAGAATTCTTAGAATGCTACCTGATATTCCGGTGAGAATCGTCAATGAATAGACACACACACAAAGTTTGAAACTTCAGGTCAAGGAAACAATACAAGTAGTCACCTCGAGGGTATGTGAACACATGAAAGCAACCAGTCATGTTCTAGTTTATCATCCACTAGGAGAGGTGACTAAAAAAGTAGTGAAGAAATCTAAGAGAGCAATTCAGTTCAAATTGAAGTGAAGTATTAGCTGAAGATGTTGCCTAGTAGGACAAATGATGAAAGCTTCCAAACAGACTATCCAGCCAGCTAGCTCAGAGGACACACAACTACATCAAAATTAAAATCAACTGAAATACGGTTGATAACTTTAAAAGCTTTGCTAACATTAACTTTATGTTCAGCATGTCAAAGGTGAGCTGAAATATAGCTGCGTAATTTCTAAACTACAGTCTGCAGATGATCTGTTGAAATATATCAATTTAAGGGGTTGCGATAGCGGATCTCGATATACCTAACTACTTTGAGCAATCTAAAGATATCTGCCAGTCACAGCAGGCTTTTAACAACAGCTACCACCTTCTCTGGCTGGTTGCCTGGCTCCAAACTGAAAAGCAAATGGTCAGCCAGAGAGTCAGCCGACCAGAAAGAATTGACAGCGAGAAACTCTGCAGTGGAACAAACCAACCGACCAACAAATCAACAGCCGACTAACTGCTCACCAAATATGCAGGAGAAAAGGATTGGAGGTGGATTAATCGGGCATACATTCACAAGGGGGTCATCGGTTGAATCATATCGCGCACAATGCAGGCCATTCATCACTCGAGTGGAAAGTGAATGGGAAGTGACGGATGACTGGTTAGTCGCAGCTATTCTGACATGAATGAGATCATGTGTCGAGAATAAGGAGGGGGAGGAGGATTAGGAGATGAGAGATTACGGTCAATCGTGGAACTAGCCAGCTGAAGACAACGGCAGAATATAGAAGAAAGTGAAGATGTGGTGTTGTTGAAGCCAGAAGTATGTTACACTCGCAACCCAAGGAAATAATAATGATTATATATATATATATATATATACATATATTGGGGGGTCGGTGGTATTGCGGTTAGGACTCTCGCCGACCATGCGCATGGTCCCGGGTTCGATCCCCGGACGACGCACTCCTTCACCTCGCTAAGCCAGAAATAATACTAGTAATGAGGAAAGGTTGGGTATGAGGCTAGCAACCCCATCCTATAAAATAAACACTGCTACAGAAACTTCAAGCCACTAGCTTGAGGCCCTATGTTCCACTGGGGAACGTGAAGGAAAAATTATTTATTAATTATTATATATATATATATATATATATTGCTATTTCAATCTCAGAAACAACTTGGACGAGCTATTATCAGGACGAAGAATAACTGCCCGTTGTACTACTTACAAGTCGTATAATTCAAGCTAATATTTTTATGTTCTTTTTATAATGTAAACAGGATTTAATGCAGCTTTCGAGTCAATCACATAGAAATCAGAGGAGAAGATTACTTTTTCGACGATTTCATTTTCATCACTATAGAATATGTATATATGTATATATGAATTACAAGCATTAAAATTCAGTTTTCTTGTGTGTGTGATGACACATGAATAATACTGACCCAGAACTTCTATTTTATTCGAAAAATAGGAACGGACGACTTCAGGTCAATAGAGCTGAATAATTAAGACATTACAAAGAAAATTGAAGTTTAATTCACTTCGAAAATGAGACCTAAGCATGCATATATATGTATATTTATAAATAAAACTCACTTTATATGTAACAGTAAACGTTTCATTAGTTGGCTCTGGAGGTACATTAAGAGCTGGTGCATGTGGAACACGATCATTTTGTACATTGAAACCTCTGAGTAGGCATGGATCCTTCAAGAAATAAAGTAAAGTGAAAGAAGTAACACCGACTGATGCACACTTAATTCAAATTTTATTTTATTCAAGGTACACTATAAAATACAGGTGAGGTGGTCGAGTGTAACTCCATTATGAAGAAAATTTTATTTTGATAAAGTGTTACACACACATTGTGTGTTTGTTATACAGTAATATTTACCCATGATGACAACATGCTTCCAGCACACTACTACTCATAAGCATAATGATATCAAGTCACTACTCACTTTCTTACCTCATAGTTTATATACACAAATGAATAAAAATTGATGATGATTAAACAACATTTGATTGAATAAAATCAATCAATAATATAAGATGACAAGAAAGTACATTCGGAAATAATAATAACAATGACATTAGTGTTATCAACCAATTAATCAGTCAAATACAATGAGATGGGAAGGGAAATAAGACGAGTGTTTTATAGTAAAATAAATGAATAAATAAATAACTTGTTGTTATTATTATTATGAGGTCCAGTGTTCTAATGTGTGTGTGAATTGAATTGAAATAGAACACATTTTGAGATTATTTATTATCCTCCTGCTCTGATTTTACTGACTGGTGGTAATAGTATCTTGCATATCTCTGATATTGTATATTAGCTGGCGATGATAATGAGTGACTTTTATTGCATGTGTTGTCTTCTGTTGTGTTGTGTTGAGTGTGTAGACTCGAAGATCCAGGCAAGATTCAGTAAATAACCAATGTCTCTCTCTCTCTATCTCCGTCTACCTATATTACGTTGAAGAATTTTGACTCTGTCTGTCCCACCTACCCTATTGTGTCATTTTGTATGTGTTAATGCATGCAGTTCAATGTAGTGATGAGTTATTTTTTCTAAAATTACTTATCTTCGTGGATGGGATCAATCATTCTAATCTCAGCTAAATTCTCATAATCTGACAGGCAATCTCACTCTTCCTGCCTGATGTACTAGTTTGACTCACCTATGTAGGTAGTTGACCAAACTCACAGTGATTGCAAGGTATTTTGTAAATTATATTATTTTCTTTAATTGGGTCAACCTACAGTGTCGTTCAACCTACCTACACAGCTTGTCCTATCTGAGTGAGTGAGTTTGTAGGTTTGAACGGCAGCATCACTGTAATTCCTGCTTTATTGAGAATCCTACGTAGAGAGGGTCTCCTTTCTCCTCATATGGTAAAACTACTATAGATACTTTATATTCTCTCTTAGTTATGTAATCATTATTAGTTCCACCATTATTTTTATTTTACTTTTGATCTTTTCTGAACAACTCATGTTCCTTGTAATATTCAAACCTGCGTCACCACCTAGTGAGTACTGCAATGGGTCAGAGATGTTGCCATCACTGAGGAGCTATTCAGGCTCACGATTGACATCCTGTAAAACTGACCTTATTGGATACTTTCGACTGGACACTAGTCAGTCAGTAACTAGTGTGAGTTTCTAGTCCTGTCTGTTTGGTGCAGACTGAATTCCATCAGTCAATCAAGTAAGTTTGCAATGTGGCGACCACCTTACTGACTGCTGAGTGCTAACCAGCACGAAACCTAGGTCAAGGAAGACTTCCTTCCTGTGGCCGATCGCCTCCAACCATCTAATATCACTATCAAATCAATGTACACCATGATGGCGTACCAGCCACCTAGTGGCATAGTGGCCACATTTTAAACCTTACTAACTGATAAAATTCAGTTCGCACCAAAGAAAGCACTAGCTAGACACATCACACTAGTTACTGACTAGTGTTCAATCAAAATATTAGAAGTAATACCACATAGAATTCTAAATATGGATACCATTAGAGTAGCATTTAAACAACTAACTCCCTAAAAGACAAAATTTATCAGCTTAAGGACCTGATAGATCTAATTAGGAAAGAAAATATAATTTAACAAACACGAGGATGTAATAACTGTGAGTGAGGTCGATTGCAAAGGACAATCAAACTAATTGATTGGGGTCAATTAGATTATCGAGACATAGGCATTTAACTAAATCTAGAACGGTTAAGTATATCAATGTGATTAATCTTAAAATATCTCAGCCATTCTAATGCCATCATTTGCATTAGGTTAGAAGTATTAAAAGTAATATAATTAAGTGGAGAGACTTGGTGAATTTGAATAAAGCAAGAACAGCAGAGGTAGGTTTGTGCAGAATAGGAAGATGCCACCCCATATCATTGTTTATTTCGTTCGTCTGCTTCTCGTCAGCTGCTCAGCTGAGATGCTTACACCCTAAATAAATTATTATTTATTTTATGCATAGAAAAGCTTTAACATACTTGTAAATTATACATGATGTCACTTAGTGACAGGAGGTTCCGAAATTATTGAACAGTGCTTAGAAATTTTCGCTTATATATCGTTTTTACACAGGCAATTCAAGTTTGAACAAACAATGTAAATGTATGCATAGAATGATGAGGGAGTTACGTAGTAAAGACGAGAGATGCGTAAAATGATGAGTGACTAATAAATTAGGTGACAATGAACTGAGTTCAATTGAAATCATAGAAACAAGAGACAAGCAAAATTACGCCATATCAAAAAGAAGGGTTTGGGGAGGGGGGTTAGGTTAAAGCCAAACATTACGTAATCAGGTGGAAAAGAGAGAGAGAATGAAGGCATCCAGTTAGCAGACATACCAGGGTAAGGAAAGACTGTTAGTGAATGCTTCTTTCTCAAGACATAAACCAGGTCTCAAGCGTTTGATAAAAATTGCTTCGGCAAACTTGAGGAGAGAGAAGGAAAGACTGATCAATTAATCCTCGCTTATGCAATCACAACACCACAAACAACAAATACAGTCGAAATGACACAACACATTCATCCCTCAGATATACAAAATTGCAATAAAAGAAGAGCATGCAGCAGGATTGCATAAAGCAAGTTAAAGAGTCATGTAAATACACACTGACACTGAATGACTGGATTTCAACACCAGGATTTCGCACAGCAATTCATGATACCACACAAAAGGTGGAAGAATGAGGACAATTGAGGACACGACGGTTTAGTAGATAACCGGGGAGGGATGTCGGGTGGGGTCACAGGCAGTGAATACATCTGCGCCGTTAACAAGGATTTTCATCCATATCATCAAGAGTCTCAAGTATTGTATCTTTGCCCCCACCGGATATACTTATATGAATTTGAGCAAACAGTTGTGCTAGAAATATATTCCAGTTATTGATGAATTTTCAAGTATTGATTTGTAGGAATTTTATTGACTGGTGCGCGCTGATGAAGAGTCTCAGACTAGGCTGACGAAACAGCTGTTTGGTAGAACTTCGTGAAGATTTTCCAATGGTTCTCTAACCAACCGATGTCAGCACATGATGAAATCCTAGCACCTAACAATGAATTTGTTTAATTTGATAGGATATCTTTCCAAAGTGGCTAAGTTATAATCCAACATAAAATATGTTATGTGAATGAGAGTCGAAGCTTAGGGTAGTATGAGGTTGATCTTTATTAGCACATATAATCTAATCCTCGAAATTTTCCTTTCGGATCAGTTGGAAGATGCTCTGTAAGTTGATAAACTGTCCCCTCCATGTTGGCTTACGATATATCAACCTTTGCAACCTACAATCTTGTCTTCCGGTAAGTAGGAGTACATCGAGGAATGGAAATGCCATGTTCAATTCACCTTCTAAGATGAATTGTATTGATGAGTATGTTGTGTTGAAGGTTTTCAGAAGATACTCCAAAATCGAGTTTTTCATCACAAATTATGTGGACGTATCATCTACGTATCTCCTGTATAAGTTCAGTTGACTAATCAAAGGATCGAGAATTTTGTTTTCAAGACTTACCATAAAGCAGTGAGAGAATCTTTGAAAAGAACTAGTTGCTTAGCTGTTAACGTCTTTTTCACATGACTAAATATGGGAATATTTCGTTCATCGAAGAACTCCACAGACTCTGTGACAGTAAAGGAACTGGACAAATTTCTGACAGTTTATCAACTTACAGAGCATCTTCTCACTGAAACGGAAGCAAAACCTGGTACGTACATTAAGTTTAAGGATTCGAAAAATCTGTTTTGAAGACACGATAGAGAAGAAGTTAAATTTACTACGTGGAACCCTACTAAAGAACGGATATCCACCAAGATTTATGGACAAAACATGGAGGAGAAGCCTCTATCACCAAAATTCACAGCTCTTATTAAGAAAACTCTCTTCATAAACCTAGAATTCATAGGTAACATCGCAGAGGAAATTCTCAGAAACCACCTTTCTAAATGTCTGAAGAAGACATTTCAGACAGCCACCATCCGTATCACATTCTCCAGCAGATATTTAATCTAGTCTAACGTTAAGGATAAGATACCGCCGCTTATGGGTATTTATTAATTTACTTGCTCTTGTGGAGCGAAGTATATCGGCAGTACGCTAGCTAGCCAGAGGAGAAAAGAAGGACAGTAGCCGCTTCTTCCTCGAATACCTTGCCATCTCTGGACATCAGGCATTCCCACTAGCATAAATGCTTTACAGTCCATCAATATCGTACAAAGGGACTTCGCGCACTGGTCATCTATAGATAGCCGAATCACTGGTTGGCTATTCGGGATGTAAAATCGGACCTCTACATTCAAATTCACTACACACATTCACTTGCCGCCCTACCATGGCTAGAGTAACGTCCTCACTAAAAACTTGCTTCTTTTTACTATGTAAGTTTACTATTATTATTATTATTACTATTTTTTATTATCATTATTAATCGCACATACCATATTTTATTATCACTCTCTTACTGTTTATCAATAACATTGCCTTTTCATGCAGATTTTATATAAAAACACTATCGTTATTCCATTAGTTCCTGTCCATTCTACACAGTCGTATTGGTTAGTCATTATCTCACAATTATTACGTCATGTCAACTTCTGCCCCTGTTTTCTAACCTCCAATTAGTCACCCCGTCTAGATTACAACTTACATTACGTAATGCATTTTTCTAGGACAA